GGAGCCCGATGTGGGGCTCGATCCCAGGACCCTGAGATCATGACCTGAGCCGAAGGCAGACGCTTAACCATCTGAGCCACTCAGGCGCCCAAGGAACAGAATTTTTAATTCTTTTATATTTTAATTAAATTTAAATAGCTGTGTGACCAGTGATTACTATATTGGACAACTCAGGAGGCATCATGGTGTAACAAAAAAGCTCTAGAGTTAGATATACCTCAGTGTCAGTGTTGGTCTTGCTATATTCTATTTAGCTGCTTGTACAATTTACTAAATCTTCGTTTCTCATACACACAGTGGGGCCATAATTCCTTCTCCACGGAGTTACACGCACACAGAAATAAAAATTGTCTAGAAAAAGGATTAGACATATATATACCAAAGTGATGTGCCTGGTGAAGGAGTCGAGTAGGAAAGAAATGGTCAAAATAGACTGTAGCCTTGGGGCGCCTGGCTGGCTTAATTGGTAGAATATGCAACTCTTGATCTCTGGGCTGTGAGTCCGAGCCCCACGTTGTGTGTATAGCTTACTTTTTTAAAAAATTAAAATTTAAAAGTAGACTTTTATTTATCAGGGATGTTTTATGATTTGTCAAGAGAATCAGTGTAAGATGTTACTCATGTATATAACATTAATGTTTAGAAATTCATCTTTTCCTCTAAGTATTCCTACGTAGGTTCCCAATCATAAAAAATACATTTGAGTCTCTTTACATAAATGTCATCTTTATGTATTATTTTGCAAACTATTTCACTCAAGATATAGGTGTAGGAGATCTATATTCTTTTTAAATGCTACATAGGATAGAATCATTTGAATGTTTTTGTGTATTTAACCCTTTAATTTATTGCCCTTCGGGTGCTTCCAACTTCCAGTATTAAAAACAGTACTTTTTTTTATTTTATCTTTTTTTAAGTAGGCTCCATGCCCAACATGGGGCTTGAACTCCGACCCTGAGATTGAATTACATGCTCAAAAATAAAAATCTTTTAAAAAAGAAGAGTCGCATGCTGTATCGACTGAGCCAGCCAGGTGCCCCTAAAAACAGTATTATATTGTGTTTTATAGGTGTATAGTAACAAGTGATATTGCTCAGTCATAGAATATGGGCATTAAATAATGCCAAATTGGTTATCAAGTTTCATATCTACCTGTTTATATGTGGCTTTCTCATATCCTCACAAGTATTAATATCAGGTTTTATGCCTGTTGATTAGTAACTTTGGGGTTTAACTTGTATTTTCTTGAAAAGTGGAGTGTACTATGTTATACTATAAAATTATAGTAAGTGGGAATATTAGGTCATGGGTTGGAAAAGAGGCCTTAAACATAACCAAGTATGTATGAAAATTTTATATATGATTAAGATGGAGGGTAAAATTTCAAATACAGCAAAATTGAGCAGTCATACTTTCCTACCGCTGTCCTCTGTATCACTGTTGGAAGGTGTGAAATGAACCCCTACTCCTCCATTACGTTAAACAGCCTTTCCTGTTTGTCAGACTATCACAACTAATTTTAGTAAGTTTTAATCAGTTGCCACATAGAGTTCAAGAATGCTGTGCCTCATCCCCCCATACTCTAATCCCAGCATAGGTCTGTGGGCAGTGAAGCAGTTCCTGCCTCCAGTAGGTATTCCCCCAGTTCTCCTTCCCCTTTTCAATCTTTTGTGTAGCAGTCGGAGTACCTATTAGCATCTGAAAAAAATTTTTACTCATTTGTCCTTCTCTTTTCTTCACTGCTGTATTCTCATCCTGTCCAGTAGCATGTTTTCAGTAAATATTTATGGAATAACTTTATTCAATAACTGGTATTAGAAAAAAGTCGTTAGGGGCACCTGGCTTGCTCAGTCGATAGAGCATGTGATTCTTGATCTCAGAGACATGAGTTCAAACCCCATGCTGGGCTTAGAGCTAAAACAAAAGAAAGAAAAAAGTTGTTAGCTGTTTATCTTACATGATTCACAAAAGCAAATTTCAGTTGTAAAAAACCCACAAAACCTTGAACAAAACAACTTATAGAAGCCTTAGAAGTAGTATATGTTCTTAAAGTAGGGAGTTCATTCTCAGATGCATGTAGTTTTAAGAAAACATTTCATTTGAACTAATAATTAAGTTAGTATAATTAACTTTTTTCTAGCAAGTTGATCTATTGAATTATATACCTTTGATAAACGGTGATCATATTTTATTTTACCTAAGCTACCATGGTTCTGTCATTTCAATTTAATTTTGAAAATAAAATTCCACTTCATTACTCATGAATTTTCCCTGTAAGTTATGTGGGCTATTTAGTCATTTTTATGTGTAAAATAACTAGTTAATTAAGTTTCTTCCTCTCCCCAACTATTTGCCTTATTCATTTTTGTCCCCTTGAAGTGCCTATTATACATTGAACAGTGGTGCTTCATAAACATCTGCATTAATTTATTTACCAAGTAATCAGTTAATCTTTTTTTTTTAAGATTTTTTTATTTTTATTTTTTTTATTCATTCGACAGAGGAGAGACACAGCGAGAGAGGGAACACAATCAGGGGGAGTGGGAGAGGGAGTAGCAGGCCTCCTACGGAGCAAGGAGCCCGACGCGGGGCTCGATCCCAGGACCCTGGGATCATGACCTGAGCCGAAGGCAGACGCTTAACGACTGAGCCACCCAGGCAACCCCAGTAATCAGTTAATCTTAAGATCTGAGTAGAGGGGTGCCTGGGTGGCTCAGTCATTTGAGCATCTGACTCTTGGTTTCAGCTGGGGACATGATCTCTGGGATTGAGACCCGCGTCGGGCTCTCACTCAGTGGGGAGTTTGCTTGAGGATTCTCTCCCTCTCTCCCTGCTCACTCACTCATTCTCTCTTTTTCTCTCAAATAAATAAATCTTAAAAAAAGATCTGAGTAGAAACAGGGCACCTGGGTGGCTCACTCAGTTAAGTGTCTGACTTGATTTCAGGTCAGGTCATGATCTCAGGGTCGTGAGATCGAGCCGCATGTCAAGCTCCACATTCAGTGGGGCGTCTGTTTGAGATTTTCCCTCTGCCCCTTCCCCCTGCTCGCACGTGCACGCTCTCTCTCTCTCAAAATAAAATAAATCTTTAATAGAAAAAGATCTGAGTAGAAGTTACGTAGTTGTGGACTGACTTTTATATTGCACATGTTCTCATTTTATGCTTTCCCTTCTTACAGTTCTTGACATGGCGAGACATGTGCCACTCTATCGAGCTCTGCTGGAATTGCTCCGGGCCATTGCTTCCTGTACATCCATGGTGCCCCTACTGTTGCCTCTTTCTACAGAGAATGGTGAAGAGGAAGAAGAACAGTCAGAATGTCAAACTTCTGTTGGTACATTATTAGCCAAAATGAAGACCTGTGTTGATACTTACACCAACCGTTTAAGGTAGTATACTTGGTTCATTTCTCTTCATTGTGCATCTAACTGTCTTTTTTAAATAGCTTTGTGGGTTTTTTAAATGACATATGTTAATTAAACACACATGCATACAAGCAAGACCTAAAACTACAAAGAAAAAGTATCCACCATATCCTACACTCAGAAACATTTATTCACATTAACTTACCAGACTTCTCCTTGTGTAGTCTTACAGCTATAGATATGGAGTTTATCTTAAATTCTGTCCAGTTGTACCTGTTAAACAGATGGATGCTAGTTTTAGTCAGTATTGGGTCCAAAGACACCTTTTAGTGCTAGTAAATACATATTGGCAGATATTGTTCTTAATACTTCCAATTACTCATTGTATGTAGATGCTCTTAGTGGACCATTTGGGTTATTTTCAGTTTATAACCTCATTCATGCATCTTCTGAGACTTGTAGAAATCACACAGTAGATTCATAGAAATAGAATTGTTGGGTTTATGGATTACTTCTGTTTTATTGTGATACACGCTATTACATATGCTGTAATCCTTTTTAGAAATGAAAGGATTCAATATTTATTTATTGTAGTTATAACAAAGTATTTATCTTCTTGGTAAATTTAAGTGTTTAATTAGTTTTTGGCTTAGGTTTATACCTCATTAGATCCAGATGTTAACAAACACTCTTTAAGAAACGTAGTAAACCTTTTTCTTTCTCTTAGCAGAATCTGTTCAGTGGTTGTCTGTTTTATGTAAATTCTGATTTTTAAGGCATTTATACTGCCAGTGGAAATTTATTCTTTCATCAGTGGTCTTTTGAGTCAATTAATGTTCTTTACCATCTTTACAATATATTTTTTCTACCTATTCTCACTTATTTTTTTAAGATACTAAAATTTAAGAAACAGTATACATCAAATGATGGCAGAGAATTGGTCACTGAATAATTTTTTTCAGGGAGGCATCTGCTGCGATAATCCTGACTCTCTTAGTTTATTGCTCACTATCACTAAAAAAGCCGGTGGCTCACTGCCAGGCAGTTAAGAATTATAAATTGGATAAGAGATTAAAGAAGAGCCAGTTGGTAGAAACATAAAAAGCTGTAGGTTCACACTACTCTTTTACCAGGGAAGGAAAATGTAAAGGTATTTAATTTTTGATGGTTAGATTGTTTATGTTGTAGAGAAGAGAACATTATGTATGGTCCCATCCTTCATTGTGGCAAAAATCTAACTGGTAATATAGGCAGCCGGCGTACCTAATAATAGTGTCCTATCAAAATTGAACTGAAGGTCTAATTTTCTAATTGAGCTAATGTCTCATTGAGGAACGTCTAATTGAACATCCCATCTCTACCCTGGCCATCTCTGTTCCTTATTGTACAATAAACATATAGTTCTTGACAAAGCAATTAATATAAAATATACAGTGCTTTGAAATTCCCTTGTATATTTTTAGGGGAATCTTGCCCTGTGTTTCTGTACCTCATCTTTCTGTGTTTTGAGGTGTATTGTACTAGTTGCAATATAACAAAATTGAAAATTTTTGAAACCTTGAGTGTTTTTTCCCAGGAGTAATTTTATTTCTTAGATAAAAAATTGTGTGAAGATTTGGAATGTAGTCGTAATTACCACTTTTATTAAAAATAATATCACAAATTTATGGTGGTATAAATGTGAAAATAAGACCATTAAAATGAGAACTGTTTATATTACATATTTCCTTAAGCTATAATTTCTATTGGATCCTCCAAAAATGGAGTTATAGTGTGTTGAATTCTAAGGTAATTATGGAGGATGCTTATTGCAGCATATGGAATTTGTATACTTAAAGCACCTTTTTTTGTTGCTTTTCTTAAGTTAATATATTTCCTGTTTCTATAACATACATAGTATAATTTTTTAAAAGTAAATTTGAGGGGCGCCTGGGTGGCTCAGTCGTTAAGCATCTGCCTTTGGCTCAGGTCATGATCCCTGGGTCCTGGGATCGAGCCCTGCATCGGGCTCCCTGCTTGGCGGGAAGCCTGCTTCTCCCTCTCCCACTCCCCCTGCTTGTGTTCCTGCTCTCACCTCTCTGTCAAATAAATAAATAAAATCTTTTAAAAAAATAAAATAAAAGTAAGCTTGACTTATGTATAAAATATGTTGATGATTCACTATAAAAATATAATTTCAGTTAGAGGATAACTGAATTTCATTTTGGAGCTTTTTGTTTTTCTACTTTTTCTACTGGAAAAAAATTATTCTTCAAATTCTTTCCTTCTTCAATAAGAAAAATGGCACTTCACACCTCTAAATTCTGTACCAATGAAACATACATGTAAAGATCATGATGACTGTTCAGAGTTCATTTTATTTATATTATTTTATCTTGATGAGTGACTCTGTACAGTAACTGTTTTTAATAACTGTTGTAGTGATGAAGAAACAATGCTAGTGAGTTTTACATTAGGATTTGATGAATATTCTCCTTAGTTAGGGTTGTTCATGATACCTATTATATTTTACAGCATCTGTTAGAAAAAAACCAGCAGGGGCGCCTGGGTGGCTCAGTCGTTAAGCGTCTGCCTTCGGCTCAGGTCATGATCACAGGGTCCTGGGATCGAGTCCCGCAGCAGGCTCTCTGCTCAGCAGGAAGCCTGCTTCTCCCACTCCCACTCCCCCTGCTTGTGTTCCCTCTCTTGCTGTCTCTCTCTCTGTCAAATAAATAAATAAAATCTTTTAAAAAAAGAAAAGAAAAATACCAGGAAGACATACATGTTATAATATCCCTACTTGCCTTTTCAGGTTTGGTACATTGAGAATTCATTTTCTACTTCACACAGAGAGGGGATAAAATCTATTCTCTTCCAACCTGTCAGGACTTAAGATGTATTTCTTTTCATATTTTCATTATAATAGAACTCTAATAAAGTGAGCAACATAGTCCAGTTTCCTTATAGATTTTATACCCACAGAAATCAACTAAGCTCAATTTTAACACCGTTTGAAAGTATAAAACTTCCTATCCCCCCACCTGCCTATCCCAGCCCAACGTATTTTTTTAAAAAAACCCAGGATACTCTTGAGAAGATAATGGTCAAGGCAAATATGTTTTGTTCATTGATCACTTTTAGGATCTGTTCTGTTGCATTATCAGGGTTTGGAGATGTGGCTTTAAAGATAACACATAGGTGTATCTCAGCTCAGAAAATTTTTACATTATTTTTGTCTCTGCTCTCAGTAAGAAATGTAAGGGTGAATAAAGTACCTCTTTTTAGTATAGTTTTTTTTTTTTTAAGTAAAGTAAGAGCAAGTACTTATTTACTAATTATGTTTTTATACTTTATTGCCTCTCTTTTTTTCCTCTTGTTAACTTCTCATTTGTTACTTTTTTTTAAAGCAAGCATACACAAAGGGCATGCAATTTTTTTCCCTTCAAATGAAATTTTTTCAATATGTTTAATCATTTCATTATCTTAAATAAAAAATAGATTTGCTGTGTACTCTGCAAAAAAGGTCTCTAGATTATGATTGTGGTTACATATAATGATTTTCATTGAAATTATTTCTTCTGTGTATATTACATTTTTTATCTTCCTTTTATGGATGAGAGAAATGAGAGTGTTTTGTCCCAGTACTGAAAAGAAGTTTACTCTCAAGCTGGGAATAACCTGATTGAGATTATTCTTTCCCAACTGATTTTGATTTCAAAATTTGAAGAGTGAAGGAGATTATATGAGTGAGCTGACTCTCTCCCAACCATGCTGGAAACCTTCTTATAAGAGGAAACAGAAAGATACTCTTAAGAAACTGAAAAGGCAGATCATTTACCTGGCTATTACCTAATTTGTATGTTAGAAATTTGTGATTATATTTAGATAGGGGAGAGCTGGCCTGGTCACAAGAGCATGCCTGATTTAAACATTTAACAGATGTTTATTGAACGTTCATGGGAGCATAGCAAGAAAATTGGGTCCTTTTTCTAAGGGACTGACAGATAAATGGGGTTAACAATAACTTGACAATTTTAATTACACAGTCCATGGCATATTAGAAGTGTAAGACATTACTGAAGAATCAAACCTGATTTGGAGACCTATGGAATAAGTAGGAAGTAGCTATATGAAGTGAGGCAGTGGGCTGGTATACCAAACTGAGAATAAGTATCACATATTCAGGGAAACCTAAAGAAATTTTGTATGACTGGATATAGTATATGGGTGGGAGATGAGGCTAGAGAGGAAGGCAGGAGCTCAAAGGTGAAAAGGGGTGTATTTACAGTTACTTGCTCTTAAGTGTGGTGATGAGCTACTGAAAGGATTTCAGAGATCTAATCCGATTTTCATTACCCAACTTTCTATATATCCGAAGGCTTGAACAAGAATGACTGCTTATAGGAAGAACTAGAGTTGTTGCCACGGTAGCACACCACCATGGGAATGCCTTTGATGCCTAGTAGTTCTGTCATTCCTGAGTTTTTGCTATTGTGTGTATGAGATATAATTATAGATGCATGTATGTATCAATGCAAACACATGTATCTGAAAAGTAGCTTCTGAATTTTAATTTTTGAAATAATAGACTCTAGAACCTGTCTCACATTTCCTTCAATTATAATTATACCTTAACAAAATGATGACCTCTTATGGATGAGGCTAGTTTGATGACTGGTGTAGGACTCTGATGGGGTTGATATTTGCTGGAAACCAGAACACTACTTAGGGAGTGAATGTAGTACTTCTCATTTATTATATTCCTCTTTTCTGGCTTAAAGTTGACCATTGCTTAGGTATTTGTTAAATATTTACTGTACAAATTACATTGAGAGCCTCCTAGAGATGATTACTATTTTAAGTCTTTTATTCATGATTCTTTATTTTTACTATCCACCACCTTTTCTAACCGTTCCTTTCAAGATTCACAATGTATAACTGCATAGAGCTAATTTGAATCTAATGGGTAACATAGATGAACTGATTAATATTGCTGTGGACTCATTATTAGTAAGCATTTAGATGAAGATAAATCAGGAATAACA